AAAAAAAACATTTTATCTTATTGACCTTAACACAACAGCAGCATACATCATTATTACCAGGCATGGCTTTATAATCTTCTTTCCTTTCCTTTTTTTTCCATTTTTTCCATTTTTTTTTCCCCCCATTTTTTTTTTTCGTTTAAAATTTTGGCAAGTTTATCGATTCGAAAATGGAAAAATGATAATATATATAATAAATATATATATATTATAATTTATGATATAAAAGTATATATAAATTATTTACGTTGTGCAATTAACGAAAAAAAATTTCCCCCCCCCTTTGCATAAGTTTTTTGGCATTATATGGGAAAAAAATTTAAATTTTCTTTAAATTTTTCCTCTTCCCGGCCCCTTAAGAAATGCGTTTTTACTAATCTCCTTCTAACTTAAAACTCCTGGACATGATACCCTACAGCCCAATCGGAAAGGGAGGAACCTGTAGTTCGGTCACAACCCCAGTCCTGAGCAGGAACTCTTACATGCGGCAGTGAGAGACGGGATTTCCTCCCGCAGGAACAACCTTGAGACGACTTTTAGAGGAAAACCCCTTCTTCTTCTCTTTTCTACCCGTTAGAGGCAGACGCGGTACGTCGTTATCGCGTCTCGCACCCCTCACTCTCATCGAAATCGGGGCGAAATCTCCCCCTACGTAATCGAGTAAAAGACCTGGAACCCGACTCGGAATACTTAGATCCCCAACAACCCCCTGACGAATTTATGGGAAGCCCTTTCTTCCCTCGCGCCCGAGAAACGGTCGTGATTTGCCACCTCGCTTGCGCCTCTCTCGCAGGTCTGCGAGCTTCCAGAGGGTTGCTACTTCCGTCGGTCCCCTCCGAAGTCTTTCCGCATCGCATCCCTGCTCCTCCCGAGATCCATCCCTGTGTCTCGCCGAGATATTTGCCCGTGATAATTACTCTCGACTTCGCGAAGAAGTAATGTGCGAGACATCCGACATGAAACCCCCGATCCAGAAACATCCGCTGCTGCACCAAGTAGCTAGATTACAGGAGTACCCCCACAACTTCCAATCCCCATCTTCCCTTCCCCTCACCCATCAATTAATTTTTGGAGTTTTTTTTTTTTTTAAATTAACTTTTTTAATTTCCGTTATTTTGTCTGATTTTGACATTTTTTTCCTTTACTTATTTATTTAAACAAAAGAAAGAAAAATTAAAAAAATTTTCCTTCTTAAGTATTCCATATTGAATTTATAATTAATTATTATTATTATTATCATCATCATGACGACAAATAATTATTATTATTATCCGAGTGAAACATTCAAATTTTAGTTAATAATTTTATTTAGAAAAAAAATGAAAATTTATATACGTAATAAAATGAATTAATAATACTAATAATAATTTTTTAAAAAATTTTCACGTACGAAACATTGTTAAAAAAAAAAAGGAAAATAATTTTTTATGTACATAATCGAGTTAATAAACGAAAAGGTTTAAAAAAAAGGTTAAAAGGTTAATAAAAAAATGTTTCTTTTTTTTCAAATTCGTAAACCTTTTTCCTTTTCTATTTTGAAAAAAAAATTAATTATTTAAATAACACGTTCGAATTCGTACGTTAACTAAATAAAAATATTTATTAACGATAATTACTATTATTATTATCATCATCATCATAGAGTAATAAATTAATGTTTACATTCGTAGTAATTAAAAAAAAGGGTAAATTATAGATGATTCAAAAGGAAAAAATAATTACGTTTTTTTTATTTAATTTAATTTACCTGTCGATAACTATTATTATCATTATTATTATTAATGACACACTTGTCTTTTTTGAGGGGGCGAGGAGAAGGGGGGGAATAGAGAGAACGAAAAGGAAAAAATGATGAAAGGCGCCGTAAAAAAAAAAAAAAAAAAAAATTATATATAAAAAATAAAATGGCGGCGGCGTTATAATTAATGTTTATGCCGCGAGAATGCGCGCGTGTAGCGCATTTTCCCGCTTTTCCCTCTTATTTTAATTTAATTTTATTACATTAAATCTTAAAAAATAAAAAAAATGGAAAAAAAGGTTGGAAAAAAAAAATACAAACCGCAACACTTTGTTATAAAAAATTATAAATAATTAAATAGAATATAAACAAGGGTACAAATTATTTATAAATAATGAGAAAACGTGAAAATTTATTTTCCCCCAAAAAAACGAAAAAAAACAAAAGTTATAATCTCTGATAATTAATTATTCAGGTATTAATTACGTGTCAACGTGTTTCATATAAAATAAACCAAATAATTAAAAACTTTTCACTTACTCTTTTACTTATGAATGATATATATCGTCAGTGATAATAATAATAATAATAATAATAATAATTTGGAATTTTATATAACAAATATGGCGTCGGAGGTTAAAGATAAATAAATTACTATGGGATTAATATATATATATTTTTTTTCCTTGGTCCCATCAAAAACTTTTTTTCTTCTTCTTCTTCCTACTTTTTTTTTTATTCTTAAAAGAAAAATGAGACGTCAATTATCTGTCTCGAACAGTATCTAATTTTTAAAATTTTCATATTTTCCTCTTCCCCCCTACCCCTCCCGCTCTCATTTCTATTATTATTATTATTTTGTTCGTTAACCTTTATAATTAGTATATAAAAAAAAAAAGTTTCTATCATTGATTTTTTGTTGTTTTATCATCATCTTCTTCTTTTTCTTGTTTAATTAAAAAACTTTTTTTTTTTTACTATTAAAAATTAATAACTTAATAATAATAATAATAATAATAGTAATAATAATTTTTTTTTGACAAAAATATATTCTGACGTAAAATGACAATAAGAAAGAAAGAAAAAAAAGTTTTATTTACTTTTTTCGACGTAAATTTTTCAAAAAAAAAAAAATTTTTTCTCAATTAAATTTTAAAGGAAATAATAATAATAATAATAATAATAATAATAATAATAATGATAAGTTTTTTAAAAACTACGTATCGAAGATAAATTTCCTTTAATTTTTTTTTTGAGAGAGAGAGAGAAAGAAAGTTGAGATAAGTTGTCATGGTAACTTTTTTCTTTTTTTTACCTGTAATTTACTTTCATTTGTTACCTGTAATATAACAAGTTTTTCCGGAAAATCGTTTTAATGTTTCTAGCATAAATTTTGAAAAAAAAAAAAAGGAGAAGAAAAGTGTAAGTTTCCTTTGACAAAAAGAAAAAAAACCTTTTAAAATTTTTTCTTTTTCTTCCCATAATAAATTTTTTTTAAAAAGAAAATCATCATCATCAATCATTTAATAAATTTTTCTTTTTTTCTTTTTTTTTCCAGTTCCAAAAATTGAGATTTTAGGTGAATCTGACATGTACGTAAAATCTGGAAGTACCGTATCCCTTAAATGCGTTATAACTCAATCGTTGGAAGAGCCAGCATACATATTTTGGTATCACGACAACGAAAGAGTTTTAGATTATGATAGAAGGTATAAAGATATAAGAGTAGAAAGAGTCGGCTCTGATACAACAGTCGGTTCTTTGATTCTTCATCAGGCCACTAAAGAAGATTCTGGAAATTATACATGCAGCCCATCTAATTTAGATTCTTCGAGTATTTTGCTTCACGTTTTAAACGGTATGCGTTTGTGTGTGTTATTTTATATTGTGTAAATTTTTTTTTTTCCTTCATTTTGTTTGTTTGTTTGTATCAGGTGAACATCCGGCTGCCATGCAAAGAGGAAAAAATTCAGCATCATCAAGATTACGTAAATGGTGGTGTCTCAATAGCAAAATATGCTCGTGGCCTCGCAATACATTAGAAGCAATATTACTTATGGGTATCATAATCCATTGTTGTATTCGGATATCGACGTAGGGAGTCAACAAACGACAAACACAAACACATACACATACACACACACCACGCAGTAGAGATAACATATATATATGAAATTTTTTTTTATGATCGGATGTTAGAATTCGAATCATCAATCCGCTATTAGTTTTATTTTACAAAAAAACGCGTTTTAAACTGTATAAATGTATATTATTAATAATGATAATAATTATTATTATTTTAAATTAAAAAATTTATTCGTGTGAATTATTATGTGAGTGCCAGACTGACCGACATATTAAAAATGACTCAATAATTTTAATTCAAATAATAATAATAATAATAATAATAATATTAAGAAATAAAATTTGTTTTGTGTTTTTCTTTTTTTTTTTTTCATTTTCGTTTTCGTTTTTTTTTTTTTTCTTCCATTTTAAAATTTTAATAAATTATGTAAATGTATAGTACATATATCATAATCATCATCATCATCATCATCATCAAGAGCTTTTAATCATCATCGATCACGATTTGAAAATTTGATAATGAAAAGTTTTGAAAAAAAAAAAAAAAAAAAATTTTTTTTTATTTTCTCCCCCCCTTCCAAAAAAAGCAACAACAACAATAACAATAACAATAATCTATTAAATAATCGTCAGATAAAACTTTGTAAAACGTAATAAAAAATCATATTATTATTATTATTATTATTAATATTATCATCATCAACAACATTTAAAATTACCCTGTTATCATCAAAAAAAAAAAGTTTACAATCATTTAAATTTTCATTACAATCGTTTGTTTATTATTCCCAACTCGAAAATTTCATAAACCCCGCTAATTACAACCACAACAACAACAACAATAATAATAATAATTATTATTATTATTATTATTATTATTGTTATTATCGTGAACACACATAAGAATTTGACAAAAAATTTAAAGAGAAATATATATATAATACAATTACAACGCATTACAATTCATTTATGATGAGCGTTATAATCGTGACGTCATAAAAAATTATTTTAAAAAATTTGACGAAATGATTACGTCATTTTCTAATGCCACGACTATTACGATTCCTGCTCCCGGTACCCGCTACCAACAATTCATTTATTTTTATTTAATTAAAAAAAAAATTTATGTACATATATAAATATTATTGAAGCTCATTTATTGTGAAAATAAGTTATAAAAAAAATTATAAATATAAATATATAATTAATTTGTAGTGTTAATTAATTGTTTTAATAAAGTGAAAATCGCGGCGGTTTTTTTAAAAGTGGTAAAAATCGATATATCGATCGATTCGATTCGATTGATTTTTATTTTACAAAATTTTAAAAAAGTGCTCCGTGGTTAATTATATGTCACGTGATTGACATTGTTTCTTTTTGTTTAAAAAAACTAAAAACTTTTTTTTTCGGTCAGTCTGTATGGCATTTTATTACTCAAAAAAAAGGGGAGGTCAAGGGTCAAAGAGAAAAAAAAAAGACACTTGATGGAAATAAAAATTTATATGTACATAAAAAAAAAAATTAAATTTTTTTGTATATATATATTATGAATAGCACGATTGCATTATATTAAATAGTTTTAAAAAATAATAATAATAATAATAAGAGCAAAAAAAAAAATTAATTATTGAATGCGGTTGTTTGTTGACATTGTTTTGTTTTGTTTTGTTTGTCGGTAAAAGAAGAAAATTTTATTTCATCGAATGTGTTAATTTTATTGTTTGTTTGTTTTGTTTGTTTGTTTTCTTTTACCTTCCATCATCATTTTGGCATTTATCAATTTTTTCATTCATTTTTTCTTGTTCTAAAAATTCTTTGACCGTTTGTTTGTATTTCTCTGATCTCACAGCCTTCGGATCGGATATGAATGTAATGAGATCGAGTTTCATCGCCGGAAGGCTTTTCTTAGACGTCATCGATTTAACGGAAATTGGAGAATTCCAAACGGAACCGGAATCGGACATTTCATCCGGTATTAGTCTCGTTGCCGAACATGGCGTGATTCTACGACTGTGACCCGGTGGTGTGACTCTTATAACTAAATGTCTTTGTAATCCACCACCATCGGTTAATACTTTTCCATTTATTGTTGATGTTAATTGTTTTCCCGTTATTTTCGTTTCCGGTTCCTTTTTTTTTTCAAAAACAATAATAATTATTTACAACGATTTATTTAAAATGGAAAAAGAAACACGTCGAGAGATTTTACCTGTTTTTCTATTTCTCTATAAGTTAAATATCTGGGAGCATAAACGGCAAAATCATCTGTTAATATCGGTTGCGGTGGAGCATTTGGCATTCTGAACGTTATCGCTGTCGAGATACTAGTCGCACGTGGAATTTGACGAAAATAATAACGATTCACGTGTCGATCTCCTCTCACGCATTTTATACTATACGGACCGGCTGAATACACCATAATAATCATTATTCTAATTGAAATGAAAAAATTGTAATAGGTGATAATAATAATAAAAATAATACCTACGAATGTTAGAATATTTTGTTTGAATGTTTGAAGGCAGCGGAGTTGTAAAAGGCGAATCATTTTCATCAGATGAATTAAAAAAATTTTTAAAAGTCTTCTCCAAAGGCACGGAACCAATTTTTAAAGGCATCCGAATGACTTGGGATTCTTTAACTCCAATTATATCTAAAACAAACTGATTAAATTACAACTTTTTTTTTATATGTAATACAAACAAAAATGGCGAATGGAAAATATCGGAAAAAAAAATTTAATAATTAATCATACATCGAGACGATAATCGATCGTTATTAATTTACAATCCAACATGGTACTCGTTGATGGTACCGGAGGAATTCTTGGTCCTTCATTTTCCCACGTCGAAGATTCACCAGGTGGTACAGAACCTTTTATTCTTTCACTTACAATTGTTTCTTCCGGATGATTTCTAAATGCTTTACTCGAATAATAAGTTGCTATCTGATTAGCAGAAGAAAAATTTTTTTTTAATTAATCAAAAGGGAAAAGAACAGGAGGAAAAAATTTTTTCCCGTTTCGATACCTGTATAACTTTTGCCGAAACTTTTGATATCATTTTATCACTGACGTTTAATATGTGAGCTTGAATGGGTATCGTTTCACCTGGTACAAAACCTCTTCTTTTAACTTTAACCGATACTATAACCGTACCTGAGGCACAACAAAAACACCAAGAATTTGTTTTTTTACCTTTGCTAACGCTACTCTAAAAAAAAAAAACAAACAAACAAACACTCACGTAATTAATTTTTTCCTTTTTCATTATTATTATTATTATTATTATCTTTTTAAAATTTAACGAATATTTTTTTTTTTACCAACATCAGCTTTTGAATCCGTATTTAAATCCGTTATCGTGTTCACACTGAAATAAGCGCATCTTTGTATTGTCGGAAGGTTGAGACGTTCTAATGAAGCTTCACAAAAATAACGAACGTAACCGTATCTTCCGTGAAAAGAAGCTGGTAGCTTGGCAGGAAGCGTGTACGAAAAGGGAAAACTATGTTTGCCAGCCCACATCATTTCTCTAGTACCTTTCAAATAATAATAATAATAATGATAAATATTATCGTTAACAATTTCTTTTATAATTTTGATTTTGCCCAGATGAAGTTTTGAAGAAGAAGAGGAAGAAGAATTTTTTCATCATCGGAGTTTACAAAAAAAAATTTGGTATTATTATTATCATTATTATCGTTTCACTGGGCTTTTTAACTTACTACTATATCTATGGCCAAATAGGTAAGCTTTATGCTCAAAATACTTTTCGTATGATTTAAATCTCCTATTGGCTTCTTCTTGGCGTTTAAGCGAAGACTTTTTGCAAACTACACCCGGGGATTGATGGTCCCTTTGTAGAGTCGACCGTTGAGAACGTGGACATGTTAATGTTGTCGTCACGGTTGATGTTTCCCACTTTCCCGACGGTTCTGATCCAAAATAAAAAGGCACGGAAAAATCACCAAATTTCCCAGCCATATCAATTTTTTCGGATATGGAAGATGGACTACTGGTAAAATATATATTATGTGATTTGAATTAATGACAACGAACAAAAAAAAATTAATTAATTAATTATTAATTAATAAATTATTACCAACATTTTTGCACTTTTTAATGTCGATTTTATTTTATTAATTTTTTTCCCACTCCAAGGCCTTGGCTCGTCAGAAACATTAACATAAGCTTCACCGACAATTCGTATAATTATACCTAAAAACAAAAAAAATTTTAATTTTAATTTTTTATATTTGAATATTCGACGCCATTTTGTTTCCCCCCTCTTCCTCCTCGGGTTTATGATAATGAATATAACCAACCATTTGTGCTTTAAGGTTAAAAAAAAAAGAAATATTGTTTTTCTAGCGTGTTTATTTTTTATTTACAAATAATCAATATCTACTGATTAAAATATGAAGGAAAAAAATTATAAATTCTGAAAAAAAAGGGGGAAAAAGGAAAAGGAAAAATGAGGAAAAATGGGGGGAAAAAAAAAAATTACAAAACTTAACCAACCGTACGCGCATTTAATGGAAGCAAAAAAATAAAATTTTGTTTATGTCCGACATTGTAATTATAATTTAAATTTTTTTTTAAATACATTCAAGGTTTAATTTTTAACAACAAAAAAAAAAAAAAAGGTTTTGCATGAGGTGAAGTGATTTCACATTAAAATATTATACCCGGTGACCCGGTAGATGTGTGTGTGTGTGCGGATGTGCGCGTGCTTGTGTATGAGAAGCGTGCAAATATTTAAGTCTACCGGGATTCAATGCCCTTGAATTGAAAAACATTTTTTTATTTTTTTTCTTCGTCCTCGTGTCTGGCCTCTCCAGCGAAATTTTTTTTTTTTTTTCAGGAAAATAACGTGTAACCCATTGTTTCCCCCCCCACTTCTTATCATTATTTTTTTTTCTACAGTAAAATAAATCAAGATTTTATTCTATCCAAAATTACAAAAAATAAAGAAATAAAAATCATTTGTGTTGCTGTTGTTCCTGATGGGTAATTTTTATACCACGGATTATTTTCGTTATTATTATTATTATTATTATTATTATTATTATTATTATTAAATGGACATCGATAAATTCCGTGAAATGAAAAATACAAATAATCGATCGACGATAGAATTATTCATATAACAAACGTTCGTCAAAAAAAAAAAAGAAGGAGTTGGTTGTTAAAATTTAGTAAAATAATAAAATGGAAAGTTCCAGTCATACGTCATCGTCGTCATCGTCGACGACGTCATCGACGTCGACGTCGTCGATTTTTATATTATATTTTCGTTAAAGAAAATAAACTTTTTGAATTTTTTATAAATTTCATATGGTTTACACGAATATACGGACAGCGAACGTCACACACACAGAGAAAAACAATCGCAATAAAATATAATTAATCACAATTAAAATTTGATTGTTTTTTTATTAAATGTCAAAATCAAACAATCGAAACAACAACAACAACAACAAACGATTTGTTTTTTTCTTTTTACGAAACAACAAAAACAAAGAAAAACGTTAGAATGATTACGTAATAATAAAATTTTACTTAATGTATCGATCCATCACGATTATTACATTTCCTTCTGCCTCCCCGCCCCCCAAAAATTTTCTTTTTTTTTACGAATCGTATATGATATATATTAATTAAATAATAATAATAATAATAATAATAATAATACCTTGTATTGGAAGATTATCCGAAAGATGAATTTCGACATTTCCTTTAAGTTCTTCACCGGCGAAAAAAATTCTATTTGGATTGTCTAAGGTCACTTGAAACCGAATCAATTGCGATGGAAGTTCTTTTAGTGCTTTTTTAAGCACCGTCGTCGGAACCTGGAAAAACCAAAAAAAAAAAAAAAAGAAATCGTGTTAGTGGTGGTGTAGTGCGCGTAGGTTGTTGTTGGAAGAATAAAATTGATTTTGATTCGTCTGGAAAAGGCGACGGACGCCACGGATGAAAGCTTTGGTATAATAAAATAAAATAAATATTCTGGTTTTTCTTCTCTCTCCATGGGAAGACTCTAAAAACCGTTCGGTCGGGGTTGGAAAAGACTTTTAGGCGCCTTTAATACGCCTTCGATTTCCTTTTTTATTCCTTTTTCCCCCTATTTCTCCCTTTTCTCCTCCTTCCCCTCCACTCCCTCCATTTTTTTTTTTTACCATTCCCTCGTCTTTTTCTCGTTAATTATTTTTATACAATTTATAATTAAATTAAATTTTAATGCCTAATCGTTTTTTTTTTTTATTTATTTTATTTCGTAACCGAATTCGATCTGCCATTGCCGACTTGAATATTTTTTTTTTAGATTCTCTGGAATTGAAAAAGAAAAAAACGAATTCCAAAATATTTCCAGTTGGCGCCTTATTTATGTGGCGCCCACAAAAAGACTACTCCTCTTTTTTTTTTATTTATTTTCTTTTTGTCATCATCATCATCATCGTCATCATCAAACGAAAATTAAAATTAAATTTTCCCGAAATTTATCAATTGACATTAAAAAAAAAACCCCAGTTTTAAGTAACAAAGAAGCAGAAGAAAAGAAAAGGAAATAGGGGAGGGGAAGCGAGAGGGCGAGGTCGAGAGGGGGGAAACGAAAATGCTATTAATTAATTTAATTTAAATTTTCGTCACGAAACCTTTTTTTTTTGACAACATGAATAAACTTTTCCAGTTTTTTTTTTTCCTTTTTTTTATAGTCTATAAAATTCGTAAATAGAAAATAATAATAATAATATTTCTTATGTGTATGAAATTATATTAATAATAATGATGATACGTACCAAATTTGTTTTTTTAACAGCTCCTCCTCCATTTGTTTTTACCGTTGGTAATGTGATAACGGTTTGTTTTACGTTATCAGTTCCGTCTTCATTATCACCGCCTTCTGCTACTACCATTCTCCTAAAAAATAAAAAAGAAAATTTTTTTTTTAATAAAAAAACGAAATTATAAAAGGCGACGGAAGGTATTGGATTTCATTTTTTTGTAAAAAGGAAATTACGGTCGTATAATTAACCGGATATGGTTGGTTCGACGTCATTTTTTTTTTTTTTTTTGTATTTTTCGTGCAAAATAAAACTTTATCGAAAAGTTTTTTTTAAAAAAAAAGAAAAACGCGTTTAAAATTACGAGTTTGAAAAAGTTTTTTACTTACTCTCGGTCATTATTTAATAATAATAATAATAATAATAATAATAATAATAATAATAATAATAATAATTTAATAGTCGTCGATTAAGTTGTATTTTCACCCACCGAATTTGAAATGATTTTTTTTATTTATTTCCCAAATAAATAATTTTCATTCATGTTTCTTTTTTTTTTTAATGTTAAGAGAGAGAGAGAGAGAGAGAGAGTATCCTTTGACAAATTTAATTAAAAACATTTTGAAAAAAAAAGAAAAAGAAGAAGAAAATCTCATTTCAAAGTCGTTTGGGGCTCAGCCAATTGGTAAACAAAGAAAATTCGCAGAAGCGCCAGAATGGAAAAAATCGATTTATATGTATTTTCTACTACGCTGGAGAATAAAAATTGAACAAAAATAAAAGAAAATTCGTCGTTTTTTCTTCCATTTTCAAAATTAAAAAAAAAAGGTCACTCATATTTTCTAACCGATCGTCGTTTAATTATTCTTCCACAATAATTCGAAAATTCTAGAATTTTCCATTCAAGGACGAGACATTTTTTATAAAAATCGCATGACTTTTTCAAAACAACCATTTTCTTCTTATTATTTTTTAAATTCTTCTCATTTATTCTATTTTAAAAAATTTAAATATTCTCACGATTTGCCGCCATTTTCCGCCCCCCACGCTTTTATCATTTTTTTTTTTTTGGGAGGAAAAACGCGCGTTTTTAATTACCTCCATCCTCACACACACACGCACGTGCCTTGAAAAAATTTTTTTTTATATTAAACCCAATGACAAACCGGATGTATTTTTTGAACAAAGTGTTTCCGTTTCTTGTTTGTTTTTAGTTTAAACAAGTTTTTTTTTTTTTGACAGGAAATAAATTTTCCTTTTTTTTTTTTTGGAAAATTTTTTATTTATTTTTTTCCAATCCGTGAGTAATAAATTATTCATTAAAGTAATAAAAAAAAAAAAATTTTCTTTCTCTAAAAATAAGCAGTAAAATCGATTTATAATTTTTTTTTTTTACGTAATAATAATAATAATAATTGAAAGAGTTGATAAAGTTTTTTTTTGTTTTAAGTATTTTCACACAAAAAGTAAAAAAAAAATTTTAAAAAAAGTTTACCTGGAAGAAGAAAACGTAAAAAAAACAACCAAAGGTCTTGAAGAACGATGTCAATTTTAAATTTATCGGTATTCATCTGAAGAAATCACAAACCGGAAATAAAACACATTGACGATAATTTAAATTAATTTATATTTCGGTTATGAAAAAAAATAAACCGGAAATGAAAAATTTTCAAACAAAATTTTCCAACGCGAATAATAATTAAAAAAAAAAAATTTTCTATTAATTTGTGTTGATTGTTTCTTTCTTTGTTTGTTTGTTTTACTACTACTACATCGTATTGAAACAAAACGTTTACTGGTTGAAAGAGAAAAAAAAAAAATTTTTTTTTTCTTATTTCTTATTTCGCGCTGGTGGCGGCAGTGGTGGCGGTGGTGGTGGTGGTTTTTCTTTTTCCAAAGAGAAAGTGACCGCGACTTCTCCATAAATATGGGCGTAGCCAGTAAAACGTGGATTTTCTGCTCAGATTGAAAACGATTCAACCAACCAACCAATCAACCAACGGACGCGTTGGCGGTTTTCTTTTTTTCTTTTTACCCCTTTACCCCCCACCCCCCATCCCCTCAAACATGATTTAAAATGTCAAGGATTTATGCTAACAACTCTTTAAAGAAATTTTTTTTTTAATGACTATTGACACGTTTAAATTTTCAGGTATTTAAAACGAAAAAAAAAACAAACCGGAAATAATTACAAAAAAATTTTCCTTCCTTTTTTTTTTTATACCCAAATCGTTTCCGTTTATTCCAAATTATGATAACAATAATAATAATAAAATTCATTTCGAATATTAAATAGAATTAAAATAAATAAAAAAAAATTGAAAACGATGGATGGTCGTGACGAGTGGAGTGGAGGCGGAAGGAAATAAAATTCACACAAATAAAAATATTAATAATAATAATAATAATAATACGATGACGTAAGTTTTCGTCGTCGTCTTAGTTATATAATTTAAATTATCCATAAAGAACAAAAAAAAAAAAAAAAAAGAAAAATTTTCAAGTTGTAAAAGTCTGGAAAAGTCTATCAGACGCCCTTAATTTCATACGTACATACATGTATAGACGACGACTTCAAGCTATTTTTACAACTTTTTCCTTTTTATTATATAATATTTTTCATTATTATTATTATTATTAAAAGCTATTCTGTCTGCTGTTGTCTAATAACGATAATAATAATAATAAAATTTTCTTTTCTTTAAAAAAAAATTTTGGTTCAAAACATCCTGGTGGTCGTTCGATAAAATTTTTCTTTTTTTTTTTTTGATAACAAAACCAAAAACACGCGTGTGCATTATTATTATCAGAGATATATAAAATTGATGGAGGAAGGAGGGAGGGGGAAGGGGAAATGAAGGTTGAAATATTTAAAAATTAATACAAAACTTTTTTTTTTTTTTTCCGGATTTCTCATCATCGATTAGTTATAACGTAAAAATTAAAAAAAAAAAAAAAAGAAAAGAAGTAAAAATCTAAAATAATAATAATAATAATAATAATAATAATAATAATAATAATAATAAAATGGTTAATATTTTGTTTTAATATTAAACTAAAATATTTGATGCGTGTTGAGGTCACATGATTTTTATATTTAAAAACACACGACACAGAGAACAAAACAAAAAAACTACTGGAAAAAAAATTTTAGTTTTTTATATATAAAATCACATATTGGTCACAAATACGAAAAAATTCGTCATCATCATTTTCCTTTAGTATACCACATACATAAGAGAAAACTTTAGAAAAAAAAACAAACCGGAAATGAGGAAAATTTATTTATTAATCACCAGCCATCCAGCCAGGCAGCCAAATAAACTAAATTTTACGGTCAAGTTAAAAAAAATTTTTTTTTTTTTCTGCTTATTTGCGTGCATGAATAAAAAACTTGAGAAAATTTACTTTTTTTTTTTTTATTACTGGGTTAATAATAATGTTTGCGTGTTTTTAGTATTTTGGAAAATGTTTTGTTTTTTTCCCTCAAAGAAAAAAAAAAAGATGAATTTATATAATAGAAAAAAAAAAAAAATAGGAAAACTCTTACAACATACAAAGTATTTTAACTGTTGCATGTAAAATCAAATTACTTTCAATTCATTTTTTCTTTTTTTTTTGGTTTTCGAACAGGTAGCAACAGATGAAAAAAAAAAAAAATTATATATATTTATTTATTTATTTATTTTTAATATCAGGCGTTACATTTAAATATTTTTATTTTTTTCTTCTCCTTCTTGAAAAAAAACAATTTGAAACCGTGAGCGTTTTGTTATTTTTAATTTTAAAAAAAATTATTTACTTTTTTTTTTTCTGTAAATAATAATACTCGACGTAATGTGTCACGTGGTTAATGATATTCTGGTTTCGATTTCCCCCCCCCTCCCTTAAGTGAGAGGCTCTCTCGTAGTGTTGGGTAAACTCAAACACAACAAACCACCACCTGAAATCATAAAAAAAAAAAAAAAATTTTTTATCAAATTGATGCCTTTTTTTCCATTTTCGTGAAAATCGATGAGTAAAACATGCAAATAATTTTCACGACACCCCCCACCCCCACTCGCATAGCCCCCCGCGTAATTGGTTTCCATTAACGCTAGCTTTTTATCGACTTCGAAATTATTTAAAAATTAAATAAATTATTAGTTTTGATACCGATGAGAAGAGCGGCGACGATAAATGTCGGTGCGGGACAATACCAATCCAAAAGTGTCGCAATAACAATGTTACCAATTATACCACCTAATCTGGCTGCTACCATCGATATGGCAACGCCGGTTGCTCTGTAATAAAATAAAATAAAAAATTTTTTAATTACATTAGCGAAAAAATTAATTAACTCACTCGTAATTATTAAATATTTTTTTCTTCTTCTCCTCCGCCTTAATTAATAAATAAATTGGGGGTATGAGGAGGAGGTGGTGGTGGAAAAGGGGAAAAGAACTGACCTTAAATTTGTTGGAAAAATTTCTGTTATGAGGCAATCGAGAGCTGCGTTGCCACAACTGATGACACCGGAAAAAACTGCTGTCGCTATTAAATTATGTCTCGTGTTATATACAAAATACATTCCTATGGCACACAAACCAGCAGAAAACGTACTGAAAACTTTAATTAAATATATTTTAATCACCTGGAATCGATTTGGGAAAAAAAAAAAAAACGTTAAAAACGACGAAAAAAACCTAAAAAAAATTTTCTTCCCACGTGATCCATTCCTAAAACGGCAAGAATGTTACTCGGTATGGCAGCCGCGACGGTTATGAAAGAATCCATAAAAACGGCTCCTTCGATTGAATCATCGCATAAATCTTCGTGACTGTGAGAACCGGAAGTTATAACGAATTCCGTCACCTGACAAACGGATGCCTCTTGTCCCGGATGAACTCTATTGAATTCATCGAAACGATTAAAAAGTTCTGGAAACCACATCATCAAACCGTAATATCTATAGGGAAAAATGAAAAAGGAAAAAAGAAAAAAAAGAGAAAAAAAAAAAATTATTTATTTATTTATTTTTTAATAGATCGATATTTACCCTATGTGAAAAGTAAAATTAATTGTTATTGATATGAGAGTAAATCTAAGAATCGGATTTCTGAACAATTGTTTACTATTATCAATTATATCCGATATCATAACTTTTACGTAAGAAGCTCCTTTTTTATTTAAATTTTTTTGACAATCTGATTCCGTCAGCAAAAGATCCAAAACCTGTTTACAAAAAATCGTTTAAAAAAAAACTTTTCTTTTAAAGCACAAAACAATTAAAAACGTACTAACCGGATATGATTCGGGACATTTTCCGGTATTCGATGAATATATGTGACGAAAAGCGGATAAAGCTTCTTCGTTTTTACATCTCATTAGTAAAAATTTTGGACTTTCGGGAAAAAATATTAAAAATATACCAACGAGAAGACTAGGCGCGGCGCAAATCAATAAAAATATACGCCAAGAATTATAAAGAAAATCAGATGAGTAGTAACCTATCCTGCTGGGTATCACCAACCACGCCAAACCTAAAACATATTTATTTATTTATTTATTTATTAAATTTTCATTCGCGACCATCTTTTACTTCGTTCTTTTACAAAATAGAAATCTCACACGCGACGAAAAGATTTCCTAGAGTCCAAAAAGCAGCCATGAAACTTAACATGGATCCTCTTTTTTGTTTTGGTTGAAATTCTGCAAAATAAGACCAAATAACTGGACCGCTCCCACCCAATCTGTAACAATTTCCACGTCATAACATTTGTAATAACCGAATTTTGTGTGTGTGCGTGTGCGTGCGTGTGTGTAATGATAAAAACTTACGCGGCACCGTTTAAAAATCTAAATAGCATGAAAAATTCATAATTTTGACTAAAACTAGACGTCACGATGCAGAGAGCATTCATAAATGAAATAACAATCAAAACTTTTTTACGTCCCACAGCATCCGCCATGGAACCCCAAAAATATGCACCGACCATCATTCCTAAAAAAAAAGTAATTTATCATCGCGATAAGAGAGAGATAAAACGGGGGGAGGGGGGGGTACGTACCAATGAATATAATGCTATTTAACCATCCTTTTGTCTGTGTGTTAAGTTTAAGGTCACATTGCGCTGACGGTAATATAAATGACATAGAAATCACGTCCATTTCTTCTGACGTACTCACAAAACCGCAAACGGCAAGTAAATAATAATGAAATTTTCCATAGCCTATTAATTAATAAATATCCGTTGTAATGTTTTCATTTCCGGTTTCGCGGAATGTGAGATTTTAACGTTTTTTATTTACCCGTCAATTCGATGGCTTGTTCGAAATCAGCTTTTTCCAATATTCCTATTTCCGATGTTCTTGTTTTATTTTTTTCTTGTAAATTATTACCGGAAACGTTGAAATTTTTTATTACGCTTACCGAAACACCTTAAATAAATAATATATATTAATAATAATAATGATGATAATTTGAATGGAAGTGGTAGTATATGCGTACCATCAATGATGGATGGAGCATCATTGGCGGTTTCTACCATTCTCTTCACGAGGAAAAATTAAAAGGAGGAATATTTTCTGGATATTTTCTTCCTTTTCCGCCTAAAATACTTCTTCGTTAACTTTATCCCTGGAATATTTAAAAAATATTAAATTAGTTTTCCCTTTCCCCCTCCCTTCCCCTCCCCTCCAAGAAGAAAATAATTTTAAAATGTAACAAACAACAAACAAAAAACATTTTTAAGTAAATTCTTGTTTGTTTGACAAATGATTTTTTTTTAAATTTTTGACAACGTCCAAAAGGAGACCAGAATAATAATAATAATAATAATAATAATAATAATAATGATAATAAAAGGCAGACACGGTTAAATTAATTCGATTTAATTCGATTTGATTGAATTATTGCTGAAGAGAAGAGGACAAGATTTTGTTCTCGCAACAACAAAAAAAATAATAATAATAAATAAAAGAAAAGAAAAATAAGTTTTCTAACAAAGTCAAACGTGATCGTTTGACCGTCAGCATTTAAATAAAAAAAAAAAAAAAGTTTCACCATATTAATGATACGAGGTCACGTGAGAGGGGAGCCCCCCCCCTCTCTCTCTCTTCCATATTTTTGTTAATATGCGTTTTAATAAAAAATTTTTTCTTTTTCAAATAATTTTCTTTTATATTTTTTCCAATTTTACAATTTATTCCTTTGTCAAATAATTAAATTTATTTTATTGATATTAATAATAATAATAATAATAATAATAATAATTCGGACATTTTTATTTAATTTTTTTGATGAACAAAAATTTATGGTTTAAATTTTTCCTTTTTCCTTTTTTTTTTTTTTAAAACAAAATATTAATAAATTATTTACCCATAAGTTTTTTTTAATTTTAATAAAAGTTAATAATAAAAATTAAATAAATATAAATATTAAAATAATAATGATAATAATGGTATTAATTAAAATTAAAAAGAAAAAAAAATATTTTAAAAAAAAATTTCAAATCGTATTAATTTATATTTTTTATTTTTATTACTACTACTACTATTATTATTATTGTTATTATTAATAAAATTATACAAAAAATAAATAAATAAATAAAAAATATTTTCAAAATCAATTTTACCTGTTATTATTATTATTATTAAAAAAAAAAAAAAAGAGATAGATAGAAAAAAAAAAACGATTAAAACTTAACTTAAACAAATCAACACAAATTTTTTAAACATTTTTTTTTAAAAAAAAAAAAAACTATTTAAATAAAACAAACAAAACAAACAAACAAACAAACACATACATACATATGTGAGTATATGGTAATAATTTATAAGAAGTGAAGAACTTAAAGAGACGAAGAAAAAAAAAAAAAAGAAAAGAAAAGTTAAAAGTTGTTTAAATTCTTTTTTTTCTTTCTTGTAACTGGCCTCTCTCCTCTCTCTCTCTCTCTTTCTCACACACAAAGACATTGCTGACGACAAATTTCAAGACTTTTTTTTTCTTCTCTGTCAACTTATTAAATTATTCTACTAATGCTTTGTAATTTGCGAACAAATTACCACGTCTTTCCCCCTCTCTCTCTCCCTACCTCCCTACCTCCTCCCCTTCCTCCCACAACATTTATAAAACCAACATTAATTTCTTCAACAATCTTACACAAACAATTTTTTCTTTTTTCTTTTACACCAATTAATTTAATTAAATTCAAATAAATAATTTAAAATAAATAAAATAAATAAATAAAATTTAATAAAAAAATTTCTAAAATATACTAATAATAATAATAATAATAATAACAAAATCAGATCTAATACATATAATTTAAAAAACTTTGAAATTAATAAATAAATAAATTAATTAATTAAAAACCGAAATCTTTGACATTTTAATTTGTTATTTTAAATAAATAATAATAATAATAATAACAATTTCATTAATTTTTTAGTGTTTTAATAAAACAAAACGAGATTAAAAAAAGAAAAAGAAAAAAAAGAAATTTAAAATATCATAAAATTATAATTTAATAATTAATTAATTAATTTTACGTTAAAGCTATAAAAAATATATAAATTATTTAACACGAGTACCAGACTCGAGGTAATAATAAATCTCACATTTTATACAAAATTAAAATTTTCTCAATTTTCCCCAAGAAATATATTAATTATTATTATCATTTTCTCGATGACGAATCGATGGCTAAATTTTCAAATCTTCCTCTGTAACATTGCGAACAATAATTTTCCAATTCTGGACTCCCGAAAAATTTACACGTGACGTTTAAACACGTTTTCCTAGCGACTACATCACCCTCGTAATAATCCATTTCTTCCCCATGATTTCCTCGTTCCGTACATCCGTTCATTGAGATGGTTTCCTCCGTGTATTCGACCGGTATTCTCCTTCTTCCGCTTCCGGCTGACGAAACGTTATTTCCGCCGTTGTTTTCTTTTAAATATTCCGTCGTTTCTCTTATTATATCATCTAAACTGTTTTGTATGGACTGACGTACCGGTATAATCGTCGTGACCGCATTGTCATTCACGTTGACGCATTTACTCATCAGAGATTGACTTCTTTTACGACTAACGTTTTCTATTTCCGGTAAATTCCTACTTCCGGGATTTTGACCGTTATGATGTGTTAAATCGGAAATTAAAATGCTGCTGCTACCACCACCATTACTCTGTGCCGGAGACGTGTTTCGATTTTTTATAAATAATTGACCGCCATCGATTTTGACATTGGGCTGAAAAAGGAAAATGGCGGTAAATTTACAACGATCCGTTCGATTTGAAAATTATCATTTATTTTTTTAAAAGATTATAATTAAGTAAAAACGAACCTGATATGCTTCCCGTGCAAGGTTGTAACTTTGAATTTTTCTTAAATTTTCGTGGCTCAAAGAACACGGATTAGTAGGCGGATTAGGCGGATTAGGCGGAGTTTCCGTATTTCCGGTACGTTTGAACGAAGTCACGTTGTCGATTTGACAATTAATCTCGTCCTAAAAAACAATCGATAAATTTTTACTGCCACGTCTCCTGAAAAATAATTAATATATAAAAAAAAAATTTTTGTTATTTAATAATTACAAAAGAGGTAGAACAAAGTGGAAGAAATAATTTAATGGTGAACAAACGAAAAAGTGCAAAAGTACAAAACATTTTGTATAAAACAGTAAAATGCAAAACCTGTGCAAAAAACCTGTCTAAAGGCACTTTATTAATTTATCATTCAGGTACAAACAAAAACAAAGAGAAAAGATAAAAGAAA